ATCCATTTAAAAAAAAAGGAAGGATAGTAGGGTAATATCATGTATTGCTCTTTTCTTTATACTGATTTTTTTTTTATTACATGGATTTATAAGCAGATGTTTAGCTGGCTTCTTAAAATTTGTTTCGTTATCATCCTTAAATAAAGGGTTAAATATATGCGGGCTTTTGAAATGAATGGCTTGAGTTGACTGATTCCCATTTCATGTTCATTCCTACCAACTTACTCTGTTCTATAGTAGTTTCTATTATGTCTTTCTTTTTAGTAATTATTTTATTTGCTTTTAAGTGTTTCCTGAGAATTTTTACCTGTTGTGAAAAGATGTGCTTCTGAATATTATGTAATGTGGATAAATAAAAGTGATTATGAAAAATTATATTGAAGTATAATTAACATTCATGGAAAGCAAAATCAGATTTTGAGAAGTTTATTATTTTGTCTTAGAATTATAGAAATTATGTACATTACCTGTTTCATATGATTTTTTTTCTGATCATGTGAACATTTCAGTTTGAAGAGCATCATATTAACATCTAGTACGTTATAACAAATCAGGTAGTTCTCTCAACCCTTGAAATCTATCCATTCTTTCTTTCTGCTCACTTTACTAATGACTTCCCTGTCCTCTCCTAAAACATCTTTCTTCTCCCATCTTTTGGTTTGGTTGATGTACATGAAATGTGAATACAGACAGAAGCTTTTATGTTATAGAGTATCATTCAGTGAAAATTTTTCCAGAAGGCCAGAAAAGCAGGACGTGTGCATCAAGGTATCTGGAGTTTGGGGAAGCCTTATGTATTAAAGGACCAGGTGATGCAACTGAATTGTATAGTCTTGTACTTTCAAAATACAGTATTGGTAACTGGATTAGGGAAATGTATTAATCTAGAATAAATAAAACAGGTATTTATCTTTACTTTGAATATCACAGAGTAAAAGTTTAAATATCAATGTACATAGCAAAATTTTACTTAGGAGAATTCTTAAGTACATAAAATATGTTTTGTAGGTAAGTGGATTTCAACTTTTTTTTCCTTTCTGCTCCAATATACCTCATACACATTGATTATCAAAATGCTAGTGAGTGTGGTGTCGGGGAGAATCCAGAAATTACTGTTGTGAAGGGCATTGTAGTTTGACCCACCACTGGAACAATTCTGACATTCCCACCCCATCCCACGTAGTACATAACATACTGCTATACCTCTTTTTTAAAAGTCACTATTTAAAGATGTATTTTTTCCTAATAATCTTAGATATTTCATTACCTCAATTTTTCTGCATTTGGGGATTCAGCATAATTTTAATGTATGTCCATACAAAGAAGAATAAATGTATCATTAAATCTCAAAATTGTTTGGTACCAAGCTACACTGCTTTGCCTATGATGCATGCCCTTTGCACCTCACTGTGACTCTTCCTAGTGAAACTCTACTAGATTCAAGGCTAGTGAGGAATCTGGGGTACTGGAAATTGGATTCTTTATGTTAACCATCTTTCTGTAATTACCAATTTATATTTATTTCATGATGTATTTTAGTAGTCAATAAATAGGTTTGATTTGAAATTCTTTTCTATCTATCATGTTTTTATAGTTGATGTCTGAAAATTTTATCTATCCTATTAATATATAATAAAACTTTAATATGCAAATCAACCGAAAGACAGAATGACCAGTTGCTATGACGTACAATGACCATCAGGGGCCAGACACTCAACACAGGACCTGCCTCCAGTGTTCAATGTGCTCTCACAGAGGGCATGCCTCTCAGCCAGAAGCCAGGCTCATGGCAGGCGAGTGCAGTGGCGGTGGTGGAAGCCTCTCCCACCTCCACTGCAATGCTAAGGAGCAGCGAAACGGCTTCTAGCTGAGTAGTGCTTCCAGAGGATATTCCCTGGGGGTCCCAGACTTCTAAAGGGTGCAGGCTGGGCAGTGCATGAATGTCATGTACTGAGCTTCTAGTATATATAAAAGCCTAAGCAACCATTTGATATTTTGACTGGTAGCTATGATGCACACTGACCACCAGGGGGCAGATGCTCAATGCACAGACATGGAAACATGGAACAGACTAAAGTATCTCAGAGGGAAGGTGGGAGGGAGGAAGGTTGGAAGAGATCAACCAAAGATTTTACATGTGTACTAGAGGCCTGGAGCATGGATTTGTGCACCATTGGGGTCCTTTGGCCTGGCCTGTGCCCTCTGACAATCTGGAACCCCTTGGGGAATGTTGGACTGCCAGTTTCAGCTGATCCCCATAGGCCACACTGAGGGACTCCACTGGTGTACTCGTGCACTGGGCCTCTAGTTTTGAATAATAGTCAGATTTTATTCCTTATAAAACTAAACTTTAAAATAGAAAATTTAGCTACATTTATATCTATAATAAGTAAATATTAAAAACTCTTAGATTATTTATATTAAAAATAATAATTCATTACTTTTGACTTTGAAATTAATACTTAGAATTATATACAATTATGGACAAATAGTTCTCTCCTACAATAGTTTATCATTATTTTTCTTCTTTTTTGCTTTTCTTTGAATACTCTTTTATCTAGTTGTTAAAAATGTGATTAACTTGTGGGTTTCTTCCCCCCAGATAATTTAACTGTAGTACTGGTTTTGTATTTGGAATTAAGGTTTTTTTGGCTTTTGGCAAAATGACGATGTATTACATCAACATAACCCTATAATTTACTGTGCTGGGAAAACTAATTTGGTCTTAATGGTACCTAAACAATCTGCATCTTTTTATTGTGTATCTTAGCCAAAAGTTAGGTATGCACAGGGCATTAGTAGCATGCCTAGAAGATATCCAAGTCTTGAAAATGGTTTTATAAAAGAAGATGCATGGAAGAGTTGGTGAGCTTCATTCCTTCATAATAGTCAGTGTACTTATTGGACATTTAATCTAAATAATATTTAAATAATGTTTCCTAGCAAAAATTTTCATGGAACAGATGCAATTTTATTATGTACTAGTGGCCCAGTGCACAAGATTCATGCACTGGGGAGGGGTGTCCCCCAGCCTAGCCTGCCCCCTCTCACATACTGGGAGCCTTCAGGGGATGTCCTACTGAGAACATTCTGGCCTCCCTTTGTGGGAGGTGACCAGGCTCATCAGGAGAAGGCACCAGCCCCATCACCCCACTGCTGCAGCCACTGACAAGTCACCGCAGCCACCAAGATGTCTTCATCAACACGGATTCCAGTCCCTTCACCATGAAAAAAATGGCAACTTTTTTAAGGCATTTTCAAGATGTGTCTTTAATAAGATATGATCTATCTTTCTTTATTTTCTCTTTCTTTCTTTCTTTCTTTCTTTCTTTCTTTCTTTCTTTCTTTCTTTCTTTCTTTCTTTCTTTCTTTCTTTCTTTCTTTCTTTCTCTTTCTTCCTTTCTTCCTTTCTTCCTTTCTTCCCTTTCTTCCTTTCTTCCTTTCTCCCTTTCTCCCTTTCTTCCTTTCTTCCTTTCTTTCCTTCCTTCCTTTCCTTTCCTTTCCTTTCCTTTCCTTTCCTTTCCTTTCCTTTCCTTTCCTTTCCTTTCCTTTCCTTTCCTTTCCTTTCCTTTCCTTTCCTTTCCTTTCCTTTCCTTTCCTTTCCTTTCCTTTCCTTTCCTTTCCTTTCCTTTCCTTTCCTTTCCTTTCCTTTCCTTTCCTTTCCTTTCCTTTCCTTTCCTTTCCTTTCCTTTCCTTTCCTTTCCTTTCTTTTCCTTTCCTTTCCTTTCCTTTTCCTTTTCCTTTTCCTTTTCCTTTTCCTTTTCCTTTTCCTTTTCCTTTTTCCTTTTCCTTTTCCTTTTCCTTTTCCTTTTCCCTTCCTTCCTTCCCTTCCTTCCTTCCTTCCTTCCTTCCTTCCTTCCTTCCTTCCCTTCCTTCCTTCCCTTCCTTTCTCTACCTGAGGATATGTTTCCATTGGTTTTTAGAGAGTGTGGAAGAGAGAGAGAGAGAGAGAGAGGAAGAGACAGAGAGAAACGTCAGTGTGGATAGGGGCACTTTGATTGGTTGCCTCTTGCATGAGCCTTGACCTGGGCCCCAGCCAGAGAGAAGCCTGTAACCTAGGTACATGCCCCTTGATCAGAAGCCAACCTGAACCTTGCGGTTGGCAGGCCTAGTCATTATCCACTGAGCCAAACCAGCTAGGGCAGGAATGATATTTCTTAGCCTCCAGCAGTTGACCCTTCATTTTTTTACTCGAGGAGTGTGGTGGAAAACTCTAGATCACTTTTTTGGATTCTTACACCCAAGCTACTAAAAATATTACCAATGGCATACAGGGAGCTTAGCCAATGAGCTGTCATAAAAGGTGTTTTCTCTGTGGTTCATACCAATCAAATCGCCTCCAATCACTGCCTCCACCATGGCCAAGGCCTAAAGCCTTGGGGCCTGGTCAGAAACCCCCCAACTCCTTCTGATTGCCAGCTCCACCCTTACCAAGGCCTAAAGCCTCTGCACCTAGACAGGGACACCAGATCCCTCCCCATCACCAGTTCCTGCCCCTGCTCAGGAGCCCTCTAACTAAGGCCCTTCCCAGGTTGCTCAGGACCCACATGGGGCCTATCTCGGAGTGACCTGAGTGCAGAGAAAGTTCCCAGGACCCAGGCTTCTGGGCACCTATGTATACAAATTAACCACCATCTTTGTCCGGTTAATTATCATACTCTGATTGGCTGTGGGCATAGGGTAGGTACAGTCAATTTACATGTTTTGTCTATTATTAGGTATAATGTACTATTCTCTTTTAATAAATTTTGGAATTAACATGTTAACTTTTTAAAATATATTTTTATTGACTTCGGAGAGGAGGGGAGAGAGAGACAGAAGCATCAGTGATGAGAGAAAATAATTGATTGGCGACCTCCTGCACGTCCCACACTGTGGATCAAGCCCGCAACCCAGATATGTGCCCAAGCTGGGAATCAAACTGCGACTTCCTGGTTCATAGGTTGACGCTCAACCACTGAGCCATACTGGCTGGCCTAATGTGTTCATTTTAATTCTAGGATTCTTAATCATTCAACTTCTATTACAAGAAACAAGCCAAAAGAAAATGTGGAATGCGAAAAGAGGTATGACTTTTTTTTTAGTCCTTATATTTAATATTTTATTAGACTTGATGCTCTGACAGTGATGTTCCTATTTGTGGATTTTAATTAAATGATATTGATTTAATATAACTAATTTAACGAGGAAAAGTTATAGCATGAGTTAAGTTTACTTTTGGTATAAGCAAATTGAAAAAATGCTGATTTGATCTCCTTTTGTGTTCATACATGCATTTTGTCTTGATGAAAGAATCATTTATTCATTCATTCATTTAGCAACATCTAGTGTATTACTATTACTGCCAGGAATAATGTGTTTCTTCATCATGGATTGTGTTTATTCTCTGTGTTATTATTTACTTTTTTTCTTTGCAATTGGGTTTTACTAAGTTCTTCTATATGAATACATATTCTAAGTCCACATATATTAATTCCAGATAACTAGACACCTTCAAAGTTTCTATTTATTCTTTTTGGTGGTTTGAAAATTTACATTAAACTCAACTCCAAAGTCATTCCTATGTGAGTGGAAAGGACAAGGCTGTGAGTGGGTATAGATGTCTACATTGAGATAATTAACATTTATTGAATGCTAGTTATAAGCATAACTCTTCTGAGTGTTTTAAATATAATATCTCACTCAATCCTCATCAGTAACTCCTATGACTTTGTTACTGTTGTCCTCCCCATTTTATAAGACTGATA